CTGCGGTTACCATCTTTGGTAAAGAGCCCAACAGGATTGTTATTCCTTATGATAAAAATCAAAGATTATACTTGAATCAGAATAGCACCTCCTGGTTCCTTAGCTTCCTGGATTTTTCAGGTGACATTAATAACCATCCTCCATCAGATAAACTTATACAGTTTGCAACTAGGCATAGGTTCATTTTCCCCCAATGGACTTCCCCTAAGATAATTAAAGGAGCCCTTACAGTCTTACAGATGGCTCCCGTAAAGGAACAGCTGCAATAGTTTCACCTCATGAGGCCTGGGCAGTTAAGGTACCTTATTACTTCTGCACAAATGGTTGAGTTGAGTGCAGTCCTTTTAGAATTAACCCGCTATTCTCAACCCATAAATATTTATACAGATAGCATCTATGTATCCCAAGCTGTGCCTAAGTTAGAAACAGCAGGAAAATTTTTAGCAAAAGGAGATCTCTTAACATTATTTGAAGGCCTACAAAATTGTATTCATGGGCGTTCCACCCCCTTTTCTATTCATCATCTACGGGCACATTCAGGGCTTCCTGGACCCCTTACTGAAGGAAATGCAAGGGCAGACGCACTCACAAGTGTGTTCCCTGTTAACCTTATCAGTTCGCCTCTAAAAGCATCGGCCCAATTTCATAGCCTACATCATGTTAATGCCCAAACATTAAGGAAAATGTTTCAAGTCACCAGAGAACAAGCTCAAACCATAGTTAAAGAATGCCGAAATTGCGCAGTACATTTACCTGTCCCTTCCTTGGGGGTCAATCCTCGTGGCCTTCGAGCCAACGCCCTATGGCAAATGGACGTAACGCACTGCCCTATTTTTGGCGGTTCCAAGTTTCTCCATGTAACAATAGATAACTTTTCGGGAATGATTTGTGCCACTCCCAGAACAGGAGAAGCCCTCAAAGATGTTGTTGCACATTTGCTTCATGCCTTTGCCTATATGGGCAAGCCTCATGCCATTAAGATGGATAATGGACCAGCATATTCTAGCGCTGGCTTCCGTGCTTTCCTCTCCACATTGCAGATTTCACATTCCACCGGAATTCCCTATAATCCTCAGGGACAAGCTTTGGTTGAACGTTCCCACCGTACTTTAAAGATCACCTTAGAAAAGTTAGCGGGGAATCCCCTCTCTGGCAGCTATTCACCCATGCATAGATTACATCATGCCTTATTTGTTATAAATTTCCTTCTTTTGGATGATGCAGGTAACACTCGAGCAACCCGCCACTGGGGATCATATCAATCTCAAAAAGCACAAGTGCTTTGGAAAAATGTTCTTACAGGTCAATGGAAAGGACCCGATCCTGTTATAATTTGGGGAAGAGGTTCTGTATGTGTTCTCCCTACAGATAGCCCCTATCCTGTCTGGATACCTGAACGACTGGTCAGACAAGTCGCATCTACAGAGGATTCAACGTAGGAAAGCATACAAACGACTAACCCACTTAGAGTAATCCTGAAGAAAAAACAATCATAGTATGAAAACAGAAAAAGGACACTTTAAGCTGAAGTTTGTTATAGAAGGTTAATAGTAAATGAGACAGAAAAATATTAGAAAAGCTATAAGTAAGAGTTATGCTTTTGTATCTTGTTAAAAACAGGTAAAGAAAGATATACAAGACCAGAAGGCCTAAGTATATAGAGGTGTGTGGAAATCATTTATTTATGTTTGCTTGTTGGATTCAAGTCTGTTATAAAAGGTTTACATTTACAGTCAAGAAGAGCTTTCATTCCTTTAACCCTAATTCTACAAGAGATCTCTGTTAATTTTGACCTGCAAAAATTTTGACTAGTCATAACAAAAAGATTTTATAATTCAATTGGCCAAAACCATCTGAGTGCACTCGTTAAAATTGTCTTATATGTTTGCCTGTCTTAAATGTTCAAAAATGTTTGTCCAATTATATTTTTGATCAAAATGATGTCAAATACAAATAGATTGTTGATTTCTACAACCTGGCTTTATAGGATCAAATAAAAAATTTAAAAGATAATTAAATATAACCTTTAAGTTTGGATACGCTCCTGTTGGTAAATAAAGAAGCAGCTGCTCAGAAAATTTATTCTGAACTTTGTTCACTAATGGGAGCCACCAAAATAATTTTCATAGCCTTATAAAAAGATATGCCTTGTTAAAAATGTTGTTAAAAATGTTTAATTGGTTATGATCAAAGGTCTGAATTATAAATATGTTATTATAACATGTTTCTGATGGTTATCTTCAAAATATAATATTTTCTGTTAAAAAAAAAAGGGGGGGAAGATCCTGTTGATACAAAGCTACATTACAGGACATAAGAATTCATATAATTATAATAATTATTATTGCTACTTTTCTGGTATATAAATGTATTCATATTGTTTGACCATGCAGGTTTTCCAGCATATTGTTTATGATAATAACCGTTTGGTCCAGGTATTCTCCCTTCTCTTCTGCTACACCTACTTATGGTTATAGGTACATTTATAGACCCACCACTATCCCTGAACAGCTTGAAGCTGGGTTTCCACTGAGGAGACCAGATTGGGACCCCAACACTGGAGCAGCAGAGAAAACTCCAGGATGTGTCTCGGTGCACAAGCGGAAATTTCGTTCCAAAAAGCAAAAAGTTTTCTTTCTTTATCCAGAATGAGGATTTAATGGGCCTGGTGATTTAATGAGACTTCTCAAAAGTTTTTAGACTGGTCACTCGAATATTCCATGGACTTAAGCTTGTCTGTAGGACTTGGGTAAACAGATTCACGTTTTCCTCAAACCAACATTTCAGTACTACTGCTAAACAGTATTTTTCTATAATATTTACTCCTGTATTGGCGATCATTGTAATTTTGATAATTCTTTGTATTTGTAATTGTTATATGTATCACAAGATGACAAGAATGTATCACTCTTTTGTGTTTCGTCATGGTCGACTTGCTATGGCTGTACAAGCTTCAGTAGAGGATGATGCATCTCGGGTGGCCATCTATTTGGCACAAGCCCGTCGTACATAGTTCCCCTTCCAATGCGTATCCAATGACGGGTAAGGTTGAGGCTCTTTCCTACCAACCTAAGACAGGTGCCAGGGACATAAGCCCTTCCAGCCGATGACGGGTAAGGAGGAAGGACATCCTCGCCACCTAAGACAGGAGCACATTGGGAATATGTCGGCATGCCCCTGGATCCACATGTTGACATAAAAAAGACGGGGGAATTATGGAGAGCTGAGAGCTTCGTACATTAGCATGAGCACTGCCATGTTGACCCTTCCTTCACCTAATACCGTGAGGGACCTAATGAAACGTGCCGTTGCCTCTAACAATGGATAACATACGTCAGTTTATGACCTGGCAACGCCAGCCCATAATAGTTGTTTCTAGGACATCTGGCCCCTGTTAAAGCTAATTGTGATTTATTGCTTCCTTTTGTAATCATGTGGCTTTTGCCAATAAGTAGAATGGATAATTGGAATAAAGTTAGACTTGCTGCAGAAGGCTTGTCTCCGTCTCTCTGTCTTCCTCCCTTCAGGTTTGGGACCCTGCTGGCAGGATCCTGACGTTGCGGCTCGTGACATCCCCCTAATAATTTATAGTTGCAGTACTATTTTGAACTATAGAAAAGCTAATCTCAACCTGTTTGTTCTTCCTTTTTTGACTGCAGCTCCTGGAAACAGGAAGTCTTTCTCCCAGACCCCGCTCTGACCTCCATTAGGCCTGGCCCAGGGCCTGCTTCACTGGTGCTTCTCAGGCCTTGGGAGCCGCTGAGGCCAGGCAGGTGGGCAGTGGCAGAGGGGAGGCCCACCTGGCCCTGGTGGGGACGCGATCCCAGCAGTGTCCACTCTGAGACCTCCTGACCTGGCCAGGGAGAAAAAGGGCTCAGGGCCTGAGGCTGAGAGCCCGGTTTCCACCCGAGACTCCAGGCCCGCTTGGTCACAAGGACAAGGAGAAGCGCCCCGTTCCTGCAGTCACACAAGTGGCCAGCGGGAACCGGCTCCTGCTGCGGCTCTGACTGTCACCTGCACTGTCAGGGACCTCTGGAGGGTCCAGCAGGGTCCCCACTGTCCCTGCTGCCTGTGCCCATTTTCCACCCAAGCCCTAGGTCACACGGTGGTGGCCACCCGAGTCCCGCCTCTTCCCAGTCCTCGACCCTCTGACACAAGCAGGAGAGAGGCCTTGCCTGGCTGTGTTTGCTCTGCAAACAGCAAAGTCCAGGCACGCTGACCCCAGAAACTCTGACGGCTGATCTCGAAGGCCAAGGCCTCGCTTCCTCCCTGAGGCTGGGCCCCTGGTCCCCACCACGGTGAGGGAGTATTTCTGCTGCCACTGTGCCCGGCCCCTTTGCGCATCTGCCTGAAGTTTCTGGTTTGGCTCCTTTTGGAGACCAACATGGAGGGAAAGGGCAATGCCACAAGTAACACAGGTTTCTCTGAGACTCACTTAAAGCCAGGTTAGCATCTAAGCATGGGCGGCTACACAGACAAGCACTAAGTATACCACATTGAATGCCATCTCTACACAAATCTCCTTTTGAATATTTACTTCCATCTGGGTGTGATGGCGCACACCTGGGCTCCTAACACTCTGGCAGGCTGAGGCAGGAGGATGGCAAATTAATTCAAGCCAACTTGGACAATTTAGTACCTAAGCAAGACCCTGTCTCACATTTTGAAAAATTAAAAAATAGAAAAGTTGGGGGATGTAGCTCAGTGCAAAAGCCCTGGGCTCAATCTCCAGTACTGACAAAGTGTAAGGAAAAGCCAGTTTTCTTCTGTTTTCCAATTCCAGCCAGCAGGGCTGTGGAGATTTCATTCAGGCCAAAGACGATTCCTGAGGCTTTGGCCAGGTGCCCAGATTCCTTGCTCCTTGGTCCCTGAGGAACTTGGTATGAGAATCAAGATTTTTTTTTCCCCCAGTACGGAGAACCCAGGGGCTTCCCAATGAGCTATATCCCAGCTTTTTGTTTTATATTGAGTCAGGGTCTCACTATGTCACCAAATTGCCCAGGCTGTTTGAACTTGGACTCCTCCTGCTTCAGCCTCCCAGACAGCTGGGATTACAGGCACAAACCACAGTGCCCAGCTATCCATTCTGTTTTTGATAAGACACCAGTGAGGTACTGTTTGGTTTTATTAAGATGTCGGAAGCAGGAAAACCATCGCCATATTTGCAATTAGGACCCGAGAGCCCAGATAAGCCTGGCTGCTGGTCCCTCGAAGATGGCTCCTGGGGACTATCGACCTAATCAAGGGCCTGTCACCTCCCCCAGGAGCCCCAGCTCTCCTGGAAAGATAACCACCCCTGAGGGCCTCCTTTCTGGCACCCAACTTTTTGGTCTACTGGGAGACAACACTTGGCTTTTCCTATAGGGGGCGCAGGCGGCCTCGCTCAAGGAAGAAAGGAGGGCACCCAGGTGGAAGGCAGAGCCCAAATCCCACAGACCTTTCCTCTTCAACTATTCCCGAGAAGGTGCAAGTGGTGACAAGACTGAGTGACCTATCGCTCAGCCCAGAGCCACCAAACTCAACTGTCTACCAGGACCGGCAACCGGCAGGTGCCACAGGAGCGAGGGCCGCTGGGCTGGGGTACAGGAAGGGTGGGACGGGCTCAGGAGGCGGAAGGGGGCGCAGCCCGGCCCACCCAGGAAATGAGACTTTTTAATGTAGTCTCTCAGGTTTCAAATATTGGTGACAAGTCCAAAAGATGTTTAAAACTTTTAACCTCGGTCTGAGACAAATTCCTAACTTTGAAGCTTTCTCATTCCCACTCAGTAATAAAACTCAAATGATTACCGATTACAAAGAAATCGAGAAATAGAACAAATATAGCAGCGGCAACAATATGGAGTCTCCCCATTTAAACACAACCACTCAACTGATGGGTCAAAATTCCTTGAGTTCACCCTTGCATCAATCAAGGAAGCCAGCTGAGTTCCATCTGCTGGGGCCACTGCCCTGTGTTATTCAGACCGAAACCCAAGGAGGACATCTTGGTCACCCTCACACTCTCTCAGTGATGCCTCTGAGGGACAAGACTAGGCTCCCTGTTACAGAGGAGAAACTGACCAGGAAGGCACAGACCAGGAAGGGTCCTTCCTTAATATCCCACAGCCCCTCGGCCAGACCAGGAAGGGTCCTTCCTTAATATCCCACAGCCCCTCGGCCAGAGGTTTCCTGTCCTACCATTTGTCAGCGAAACCCGGGTGTGGTGGTGCACGTCTGTAGTCCTAGCACGTGGGAGGCTGAGGCAGGAGGATCTCCATGAGTTCAAGGCCAGCCTGAACTACATAGTGAGACCCTGACTCAAAAAATATACCATTTGGCAGCATCTGAGAGAGGACACAGCACTGTGCAGAAATGAATGGATCAGACATTTCCTCGGAGAGTGCATCTCGCTGCTCAGGTGGGACAAGCTGTTCCAGGACTGGCTTTCTCCAGGGACAGCAGGAGGATGAGAGATGAGAAAGTGATTGCCCTGTGGGTGAACAGTGGCCCGGCCAGCTCTGCACCCCATCTGCCTCAGACACAGATGACAGAGTCTGGAAACCTCGGAGCTGTGTCTGCTCCAACCCTGGGCTCAGACCTGACGGAGAGCAGGTCCTGGGCTTGGATCCCAGTCCCCTGGCTTTGTTCCTGAGTGCTGCAGCTCCCAGCACGTCAAAGCCCCTCACACACAAAGTCAGCATGAGCTAGAGAGACAGAGACAGAGAGACAGAGAGAAGGGGGGCTTTCTTCTCGAAGGCATGAATGGCTGTTTCTGACCTGCCCGAAACATGTGGGCATCTTGGCTGTGGCCCGTACGGCCCCTCGTGGAACAGTGCGCTCTTTCTTTTCACCTCTTCTGGGAACCGGAGTCCCAGGAAGCCCCATGCTCTCTGGGGCCTCTTCCTAGAAAGGATCAGTCTCCTGGGTTTCTCAAAGGTGCCAGGGCTGGCACTCAGACAGAGCCAAGTCTGTGCTGTTGGAGAAAGTGTCCTGCACACCGTGAGACGCTGGGTGCCCAGTCACACTGATGCCCAGAGGGGCAGCCTGGCCCTATGTGGAAGGCACTGCACTGGCCACCCCTCGGGCCCCGGGAAGCAAGCCCAAGGCCAAGGTCGCCCGGATCCGAGGCCGTCGCAGTTCCTTCCCAGCTGCACTCCCACACGTGTGCCCAGGGCACCGCACACCCTAGGATGCCACAGCTCAGCAGCTCAGAGAAACTGAGGCACGGAGAGACCAAGTAACTTCACTACCCATGATCACGGGGGAGCGAATACTAAATGGGGAGTAGGGCCCACAGGGCAGGCTCCCTGCTGGTCCCAGCGAGTCCCGCAGCCCCGCTGGCGAATGGGAAGGTGGCAGCCCCGTAGCAGATGGGGTCTTCGTGGTCACCACAGATGAGGTCTGCATGGAGACGGGGGCTCAGCTCGGTGAGAAGGGACAGAGCCCACGACAGCCCCGGGGCCCTGCCTTCATCGCGAGTCTCGGGTGGGCTGGGGGGACAGGTGGACTCGGGCTTCACAGTCTCCGTTGGGAAGTATGGCTGTGAGCGCCAGCTCCTCCTCGGAGTCCTGCAGGGTCTCTGGAACACAGGAGGAGAAAGTCCCCGTCAGAAGGCCAGGTTCTCGAGCCGGGGAGCAAGGATTGGATGGGCAGAAGTGGACAGAATACAGATCCAAAACCTTAAAATCGACACAGCCTTGAGCCAGCAATTCCACTCGTAGGATTTTCCCCTGAGGAAATAATTAGGAATAACTAGTGGGAGCGCGGCTGGCACCTTGCTCCTGGTCACAGCACAGCTCTCCGGGAGCAGGCAAACTCGGGGTCCTGGAGAGAGGATCCGAGCTCTGGGTCAGCAGGCTCCGACCGGACTCTGCCTCCAGCCAGTCTTCCCGACACAATGACGAGTCCCTCACAGCCTCACAGGCAGTGGAAAGCGCCTGAATGGGCTGGAGCAAACATATAACAGCACTCGGCTCTGAGTCCTTGTTATCAAATTCTAGACAACCCAACAGCACTCCTGTAATCTCAGCACTCAGGAGGCTGAGGCAGGAGGATTGCAGTGAGTTTGAGGCCAGCCTGGGCTGCATAGTGAGTTCAAGGTCAGCCTGAGCTGTGTATCAAAACCCTATCTCAGAAAAAAACAAAGATCAGCAAAAACAAAAACAGATTTCCAAATAACATGTATAAATGTATCTAAATATAACATCGTATATTTATCATAAATATTATAAATTTTTATACAGTCAGCTCTCTGTATCCATGGGTCTTACATCCATAGAAGCAACTGAACTTGGATTGAAAATATTAGAAAAAAAATCATGGCTGGGCGTAGTGGCTCATGTCTGCAAATCCAGCACTCGGGAGGCTAAGGCAGGAGGATCGATGTAAGTTCAAGGCCAGCCTGGGCTACATAGTGAGTTCAAGACTAGTTTGAACTGCATATCAAGACCCTGTCTCGGGGTAACACATCGTACTAAATATGTAAGGTCATATCTACGTGGGTTTGATTACAGAAACGAAGGCTGGGCGTAGTGGCTCATGTCTGCAAATCCAGCACTCGGGAGGCTAAGGCAGGAGGATCGATGTAAGTTCAAGGCCAGCCTGGGCTACATAGTGAGTTCAAGACTAGTTTGAACTGCATATCAAGACCCTGTCTCGGGGTAACACATCGTACTAAATATGTAAGGTCATATCTACGTGGGTTTGATTACAGAAACGAATAAAGTATTCTCTCTAA